GTTAAAAAAAAAAAAAAAAAATCTAGATTTTTTTTTTTTTTTTAAATCGGGAAGAAGAAAAAAAATTGAGAAAAATCGGGGAAAAATTAAAAAAAAATCGGAAAACTGATTTAAATCGGGTTTTTATCAGGCCTGACGTACATGTACATGTATGTGGCGATGCAACAATAACAATCATAACCAAATCCATGACTCGAGTAGAGCCAACGCAGTGACTTTCTTCAATGGGTATTATTCTGCACGTTTACACGGAGGGGAAGGTCAAATAAACAATCATCAACCGCACAATAGATGCAGCTGCATAAATTTTATATTAAAATAAGTGATCAGAGAAGACTATTCTGAGAAAGCTTTAGATGAGACAGAGCAAACAGTAACTTTGAGAGAATATTGTTTTTTCATTTTTAGATACTATAGGCAAGTCTAAGCAAGGTATTTTCCCCAAAATATATCTGACCACATATACATGTACGTTTAGAACAAAAGAATGGGAATCAAATCAAATATCAGGGAAAACTGTTAATACACTCAAAAATTACAATTGAATTATTTTTTGGATTAAATTAATTTCCATTACCGGTATACATGAACTGTACAATGACCCCTCAAAAAGCACCTTATGATTTTCCAAGAAGGCCCCTACAGTTAATTTTATGAATGTTTTAATTACATTTAAACTACCCGTACAATCGAGATTTAAAACTATCAACAAGTAATTACAAAAAAAAGCTTTTCCTTTCATTTTTTACCCTTTCCTTTATGGTCAGAGCAACTTCATCTTGCTCATATATATATATTTATATATATTTGTTAAACTATTATTCCTCATCATTGGTGATAATGAGTCACCCTGTCAAAATAAATAAATAAATATATTTAAAAAAAAAAAAATTCTATTGGGGCTTATAGTAATTACAGCTTATTCTCATTTATTAGGTGGTTCCTCTCAGATCAAGATTATGTCTTCAAAACATACATATTTAAGAATCAGAATCAGAATCAGAATCAGAATCAGAATCCCCAAAAATGCACAGAAACAGAAATATAACATTTTTAGTGGCATATCAAATCATGTGCTTCAGAAGTTCAGGTGCAATCCAAGAACTGATTGGATTATGCTCAATAGACATAATTACCGTACATACTGCTATGTAGGCCATTCTACATAAAGTATGTGTGCATCCACTAAATTATGTTTTCATGTCAGTGTTTCTGGTATAGTGTATGAAACGTAACAGAATGTGCTGGCCTACACACTATGAATATGACTGACAAAGAAAGCGGACAAAATATACAGTTCCTCAGGTAGACAAAGGAACATCCCTTCACTGCTATTATGTAAAAATGTGTAGAACAGGTGTCACATGCATATTTACCTTTTTACATAATAGCAGTGAAGGGATGTTCCTTTGTCTACCTGAGGAACTGTATATTTTGTCCGCTTTCTTTGTCAGTCATGTTCATAGTGACATCTGTGTCTTGACGGTAATTGCAATCAAATGTGTTTATCAAGAAATATAAACTTCTACTAATGACCTAAAAAAATAATATGAACATGCATGTATACAAATTGTATGAAATCAACCTCAAAGATCTTTTCTCGGCCTTCTAAAGGTTAATGGTTAGTATGAAGAAAATAGATGAATTAATATACATGTACTGTACTACAGTCCTACTTTTATGTAGAAAATGTAGGTTCTGCGCATGTCATTTTCTCTGCAAGCATGTACACCTGTACATGTACACGCACTTTTGCGCAGGCCTGCTTGTGCATCATGCAGTCTCAGTATTTCCATGACAAATTTTTACTATATAAATCTAATGTAAATCGTACGTGGCAAACGATCAATTGACTACTTAACAAAAGTAAGCCAGTCCATGCACATGCTGCCTTGTATGTTTACTACATGTATTTATTGATATTTGAACTTCATATTTCAAATATAGTACAGCAAGATGGAACCCTTAATGTACAGAGCAGATAGCTTCTGCCGATTACTAATCAATCCACCTCCATGATCGTGTCAATCGTTTAAATGCTAAACATCGATCATATCGTACGGCCCTAGACTAGTGGTGTCCCAACTCTAGCAGTAGAGAGTAGGTACGCCTTGAACAAGCCCCATCTCAATGCATGCTCCCCAGGTAAAGTCTTTGCATGAAATTACAGGCCTACACTGCGGCTGCAGAGTCAGAGATGCGAGATTGAGTTACATGTACCGTGAGTTTCAGTACAGAACGCTGCAGATATTCCTCATTCCCACACATCTCTTTTTTTTACCCCCTTTCTTTCTTTTCTCCCTTTTTTTTTTATTGAGAAGAGACTAAAAATATTCTGGAGATGAAATGTTAGCATGTACAGTATATTTTTCACTGTAAAACATAGGCATACAAATATTTTTTATGGAAGAAAAAAAAAGAATACATTTTCAAACATTTCTGAAGGAAATGCTGCACTAAAAATATGACTTTTTGTAATGAGAGGGTGCCCTCTAATATTTAATTTAAAAAACCCTATTTGTTTGGCCTATTTAAATATTTCGACAGGGACTGCTGGCTTGACTAGCTATCAACAGTTGTCAATTATTGATATGTAATGGCTATGGTTGACATATACTTTGCCCATCCACCCCCCCCCCCTCCCCCCTCCCCCTTATGAAAACATAATTATTAGGAGTGAAGCATATCTTGCTGGAGTTTGTGAATGAAAAAAGATACATAAAACTGTCCACTTCAATTTGTTAAATAGAATTATTTGGAAAAATATCTGAACATTAATGGTGTTCTCAGGGATTACACTGTTTAACAGGTTCATAGTTTTATCATGATTATACAATGCACTACCACAGCTTATGAAATGCATGCTCAATAAATCACATTACATTTTAAACTCTTCCTCTTCATCAATAAGTGCTTTTTATGCAATAAACCTGAACAGCTCATTTTGAAGACATCATTTAGACATCGTCTCTTATCGAGTCAACTTCAAGTGGGCAGCGACTACACAAACGATTGCACTAGAGTCTGCTGAAACTACAATTATGGTGTCGAATGTGGTTGACATCTCATGTATTATGCATGAAGCAAGAGCAAGATACTCGCCCCCCTAGGGCATTGATGCACTAGACACAACGGACATACATGTTGCAAATTCAGCTTATCTCCCTGACCGTTTAAAGGTATAGTTGGGAAGTGGTGACGAGGGAAAATGAATTCTCACAGAATCAAAAGAATCAATTGCTTGATTTTCAGGAATACAAATATAGAATATTTGCCAAATGGACTGACATACATGTAGCAATAGATAATGTATTAGAGCTGAGTAGTAGAGAACTTAAGAGCTGAGTAGTAGAGAACTTAAGAGCTGAGTATTAGAGAGCTAAAGATCAGAAAATTATGATACATGTAAAAATTGTATTAGTCTAAGATCAAAACAAAAAAAAATACACGCAAAGAAATTAATTAACGTTTGAACAGGTTGAAATTTCTCCCCGCCCTCCCCTCACCCTTTTAATTAAGGCTGTGCACAACAGTGTAATGAGGTACCCGAGTACACTCCCATACTTACAAGCGAATACTCAAATATTCGGACGCCATGTTTTTTTTGAATTTTTTTGAATTTTTTTGAATTTTTTGATTTTTTGATTTTTTGTTGATTTTTTTCCACCACCATACCACTGGAGCAGTATCCCAGTTCCTTCGCCGAAAACACATGCAAAAATATTTCGAGTTGCAGTTGAAGGCGCCGATTTAATAATAAAAATAACAGTAAACAATGCTGTTTAAAAAACCAAAGATGGCAGAATAATCCATTTTCCTCCGAGTCCAAACAGAAATCCGGACATTTGGTCCCAGTTTCTGAGTGGTGAGTTTGACAGTGCTTGAGTAGGGAAACATTTTTACTGACGATACCATGCCAGCGGCAGCCGCTCCCTGGCACACGTAAGCATCGGCCTGGACAGTGCCAGGTGACCGGGATTTTTTTTTTTTTTTTGCGGCCGAATATTCGAGTAAGAAAAATCGTACTCGAGTAGTTGTCAACAGTGCGGGTACTCGAGCATTCAACTACTCGTCCCAGCCCTACTTTTAATGACACCATTCTCATGGCAAGAGATAATGTGATCCAGCATGCACTAGATCATGCTACAATATACTGAGGTGAGGAGATGGGGATGTAATCTTGGTCTTCTGCAAGGTGTGCCATGGAGATCCCCAATGGCGAACCTCTGGAGCAACTCCCGAGGATGCTCCACGAGAGATAGCACGATCTAGCGCATGATACATCAAGCTAACTCATGTGATGAGAACGCTGGCACCCCTGGGGGGGGGGGGGGTGGTGTTTCACAAAGACTAAGATCGACTTGAAGTTGGACCTAACTATGGCAGGCTATTCATGCCATTGTTTGCTCTCACCAATTTATACTGGCATTGGTCTCTAAAGGGACGTACAAATCATGGCCACAAACCTACATTTTTGCATAATTTATTGAACGAAAAAATATTTTCTAAAGATCATAATGTTGAGAGCAAACAGTGGAATGAATAGCCTGCCATAGTTAAGTCTAACTTAAAGTTGTTCTTAGTCTTTGTGAAACACTCCCCAGAAACGGTTTGACCTTGACCACCTTTTCTTTGTAAAAAATTGAGTAGGGGCTTTGTATTATCGCGGGGGAAAATGTGTACTAGGGCATATCAGGTTGTCATGGCAACAAGACATCTCGAAAGGGATGCCTCTGATAGATCGTCCCAACTGACTGCAGGTGTAAATGCAACGTGCGCCAGTGGACTTCCCTTTGCATGCTCCCTGGTATACGCCAGGATAGTGCAATCCACAGTCCACTCTTGTATAATTAGAATCAGTGCAAAATTCTCTCCTCTCTCTCTACACTACATATCTACATGTACTTGTACAGTGTACCTCTAATCTAAAGAGTGGTACTAATGGAATCATTGATGAGGCGGACTGACTTAGACTATGCTATTTTATGTTATAATCTTACCTGAATCTGCCAATTCTCCGTAAGTGAGAGAACATTTCACCGCCAGGAATATAATCCAAGACCATGTACAGATTGGAGTTATCCTGGAAGTAGAAAGAGAGAATATTTGTTTAATGATACATGACAAATTTTAAATCTTGCATAGAAAAAGAGAAAAAACACACAAAACAAAACAAAGAGAACAGGAAAAACACAAACTGTTTCGTGTACAGTAACACATACTGTACATATAACATTGACTTTAATTATAATTGCACTTGTGCATGTTCCAGTCAAGAGGGTACTGAAATTCCATTTGTTTGTTTATTCTCTTAAACAAAAGTGTAAAGTTAAAAGAAGAAAAACAATATGCACTATTTCTTCTTTTTTATCACTGAAGTAAATATCACACTGTACCGGTACTTTCACAGTACTCAAAACGAGAAACATGGCAATCAAAATGGCATTTATCTTAAATAAAGTGGAATATTGTGGAATATTAGAACAATGCTTTAACAGTTTAATAAGTTAATGTGGTTTGATAGATGAGCAAGTGTGCGCTTAAATGACGCCTGGCTGGAATGCTCCCCAGGGAGTGGAGGGAAATGTGAATACATTGCGTGCGGGCAAGCCTGAATTCGATGACCGGGGTGATAATGTATCTGTAAAAGTGCTAATAGACATCATTGATGTTTATAACGCTATATAAAAACGGAATATTATTATTATTATTTAGTTTGCCCAAGCTTCTTGCTACATGTTGTTAGGGGATTGCTACACAACACCAAACAAGTTTACAGTCATATGTGTGCACACCACCTGCTCCGAAACCTATGCATAATACGTCTGCATAGACCTGTTGAATGCTTCAAGCAATCATTTCGCTTCAGGCACCCATAGGAACCCCCCCCCCCCCCCCCCCCCCGACTCCATAATTTTCCCCGCCAACCTTAAAATGTCCTATTCATTTATATTGGAAAGGAAATACTGATTGCCGAGTCAGTATTGATCTGCTGTGCACGCAGGTGGGTTTGGAAAATCTTCAAGAACACATATTCATACAGCATGCCATGCAGCATGCATAATCTTGTTCGACTCCCCTCGTCAATGCCCATGACATCACAAAATGTCTGCTCTGGCAGGAGAAGGTGTATGCATGATTGCACTAACACTGACATATTGACAAAAGATTAAATCTATTTATATTTTTTTCTTGAAGCAATGTGTTCATGCTTTATTGAACTTGGAATGGGAAAAGAGTAAGGACAAGCAAAAGGCAGACTTTCAATGTTCACAGCTTTCAGTCAGGGGCGCCGCACGTTCTCTGGGTCCATAATTGTGCATGTACAGTATGTAAATCAGGACAAGACGCAATTTTGTCTGCCCATGTCACGAGGTCAGAGAACATCCAGCTTCTGCCTCATTAGCTTCATTGACAAGTTCTGTCATAGCTTCCCCCCTTGGCAACATCCCTTCAAAAATACATAAACAAAAAATGGGACTTATCCAAGACACCTACTCTTACGGTTTTTTGACGAGTATAGGGAACCCCGTCATGATTTGAAGATGAGAGTGCCTTTGACAAACGGGCAATTATTTACACATCATCCACTACGGTGTGGCTGGCGGGCAAGGCAGAAGCATTCATTAGCTCACTGGCTCGAACCTCAGATGGGTCACACGTGAAATAAACACAATTATACAGCCCACACAGCCAGCCAGTCAGTCAAGCTTTTCCCCCTCGTACGCTGTGCATGTGCGTCGCTACTTTGGACAGTATGCAGGCTGTTCACTCGACCGCATGACATCCAATGGGTGATTTCAAATTCATTTCACTTTGCGTGAACATTTCATCACCACGGTACAGTTGGTCCTTGCCATGACATAACTGTAGGCCTGTCTTCACTATCTCGAGATTGCTAAATATCCAGCTATTTGAACTATCCCGATCGCAAACTATCCAGCTAATTTGCATCTTCATCAGACCGAAGTAGCAATTAGAAGGATATTTGGTCAGGGTTGTCATCCCAAGATATCTTGGGATAGTTTGCAAAATATCCCACTATATGGCAAAATATCCAGCTATTTGTCCTGTGCGTCTTCACAAGACCGAAGATTCGCAATACGCGCTAACGCTGAGCAAAATATCTCGAGCTAATTTATCAAGGTCGAGTTTCAAATTTCGAGGTCGATTTTCGAGATAGTGAAGACGTGATTTGTTACTTCAGGATTATTTCCCAAATCAGAAATAGCGGGCTATTTGGCAATCTCGAGATGATGAAGATGCGCCTTGTGTTGCTGCTGGCTGGACTCTTCGTCTTGCAGTGAAACAGACAGACAATTTCACAGCACAGAGGATTTGAATACTGTACTCACTGCTACAATAATATTAGTCTGCAAGCACAAACCCTGGTCAGTCGTAAAAGTGAGTCTGCACTATAAGACTACTATAGGCCATGTACTGTAGCTGCTGACACAACCAGTAGGTAGCTGGGCTAGACTTCTCTCAAGGCACAATGATTTTTTGATTAAGTGTCAAATTAGGGTCTGTGCCTGCAGACTACAATAATATTGTGATAGTTGTTGTACATGTCTCTAGTAATAATACACAATTGCTTTAAGAAAGCAGCACATTCTTGATAAGCTCCTGCATCTAATGTATGTTCATTATGCATTCAATATATTTGTTTAAATTCGTTCATTACAGTGTGTATCTGTATAAAATTATATACACTTAAAATATTGTATCAAACCATATTATGTTCATGAAAATGTATGATGTAAAAAGAAGAAAAAAAAGATGCAGAAACCAATAAATCAAATCAAATCAAATCAAAAGCAGATTGCATTATCAGATCAAGATTTTAATTGTATTTTGAAACCTCTGCTACATGTACTTCTAAGCCACTCTCCATGTTAAATCAAAGTTGTCTAGTTTCTGAACTATGGGCTGATGCAAATTACATACAATGAATTGTACATGTAAAAAGACATTTCACTTTATTTCAGGGCTTAAAAAAAAGGGATTTATAGGGCCTCCTTAAATCCATGAGAAGTTGTTTTATTTTCATTCAATGCAGCAATTTTATGCATATATAGCAAGTATTTGATATTTGTGCATTTCAATAGGCTCTTTTATCATCTTCTCCCCACTCCCCAATCCATTGACCTATCCAAATCGTAAATTGTAAAAAATATTTAATTTTGATCTTGTCTGTAGGGTCATTAACACTTGTGACCAAACATGCCAAAATATGCCAAACCGGGCCTTACCGCGATGTTTCAGTGAAACCGGAAAAGGTGCCAACTTTGCCATATTTGATGTTTGGTAATGTAAACGGTAACAGCTGAAAAACTCTAGGATTTATTTCGCCACAGACATACAGGTTTTAGGGATAGGGTTAGAATGGCAAACTTTTAATTGGGCTTTAGCTTTACACTTTATTAGAGTTAGAAAAAGGGTTAGGAATATTTGTTTCAGGCTTTCAGGGATAGGAATTCAGTTAGTGTAGGTATTTGACCCCGGAGCAATTGACGCCAGGGGCACATGCGTTGTACAACCTAATACCAACTTGAGTTGTGGTATCGTATCAGAGGCAGAGTCTGTGCCGTGTCTGTACTTGCAGACTAGGATTTGAAGAGCTCTCATAAGGCCTGTTTTCATCAGCTCGAGATTGCCAAATAGCCCGCTATTTCCAAATTGGGAAATATTCCTGAAGTTACAAAATCGCGTCTTCATCAGCTCGAGACTTGACCTCAAAGCTTGAAACTCGAGAAATTAGCTCGAGATATTTTGCTCAGCGTTCAACTTCACTCATAGTGCGAGTCTTCGGACTGGTAAAGACGCACCGGACTAATAGCGGGATATTTTGCCAAATAGCGAGATATTTTGCAAACTAGCCCAAGATATCTTGGGATGATTACCTCCACAAAATATCCCGCTATTTGTCCCGCTAAGACGCAAATTAGCTTGAATTTGCGATCAGGATAGTTCAAATAGCAGGATATTTGGCAATCTGGAGCTGATGATGACAGGCCTATCTGTACTGCAGACAGACAAGCATAGGGTCACCCATCAGTGCACTCAGCCATAAACGCTGTGCGAGGTCATGGCCAAAACCATGCTGATTCACTGCACTCCCTCGCTGGCTCTAACATGAAGCAAAGGAGGGCAATGTTCTAAATATAGCCAGTGAGGCCAGCCAAGGAAGTATTTTAAGACTTTGAGCAAACAATAACTGGGTCAGTATGCACAAGGAAACAATGCTCTAAGCAATAAATCCATGTAATCGCGTGGATTTCCACAAAGCACTGGTCAGTACAACATATATTTGGTCTTAGTTTCCAAATTTATTCTAGTTGTACTTGAATAGATAGCAGACATCTTGTCACTGTACTGCTCTACATGTACTAACTAGAGGAGGGCAATGTTCTAAAAATAGCCCATAAGACTAAGGGCGCGTTCATGCTTGATTTTGACGGCCAGAATCAGGCATCTGTTACGCGTTTAGTTTAAAACACGGTTGCGTCTTAGCTCACTTTTGTAGAATCACCGAAAAACGGCGATCACGATCGCCGATCGTAAACTCACAAAAGATGCGTTTACAATTTGTAAACGCGTTTAAATGGGGTCAACGCACTGACCTCTAGTGGGTCTACGTAGCATGCACAGTGAAGGTTTGCGAATCCAGCTGGAAGACCAATTAAGGCCACACACGGAGAATTGCCTGGGGAGCCAGAGAAGTAAGCATGAACACTACATCGTGGAACTGCGATCACGATGAGCGTTTACGATGAGCGTTTCAGATCGCTCATTCTGCCTTCAAAATTTAAGCATGAACGCAGCCTTAGAGGCAGACAACTGTGTTCTAAAAATAGCCCATAAGAAGCTGACAAAGTATTTTAAGACCATGCCCCAACAATATAAAAGTGTGTCAACACACACAAAGAAACGACTCTGCCCTCACTAAGTACTTGCTTACTAAATGCTCTTACATGTAGAAGTATTTCCAGAAAGCAAGAGTTCAGCTTGAAGCTCGGAATTTCCTGTACTCTCATTGTACACGTAGCACTTGGGCAAGTCAGAGATACGAGGTCATTTGGT